GCCACCATGCCTGCCTGCAGATACATCTATAGATTATGTATCACTCAGTTCCTGGATGGCTGCATTGCAACTCTTGTGTTTGTCTTTTGTTCCTCCTCCCTCCCTTCTTTCTACACTTTAGCTACTGATTTCTAATCATCACCTGCAGCAGCAGAATTAACCTTTGTGGTATCATCAAAGATGTTCCTGTTACCATCTCTCTAAACAACATGGGGTGCCTTTTGTGATTTAGGACTAGAGTCAAGAGCCCGGAGAGATGTCTCAGTGGTTAAGTGTTTTCTGTGTGATCAAGAAGACCAGAGTTCAGACACCAGCACCTTCATAACAAGCTGTGCTGCACAATTGCCTATAACTCCTGTTCTAAGGAATCCAACACTTTCCTATCCTCCATGCTCCACCTACACACACATAAAACACAAACACACGAATACAATCTTTAAATGGGTGTCTGGGTCAGTGAACTGTGTGTATTAATAGCACATAGCAACATGCTTTGACTCTGCTGAAATAGCAAGCAAGAAGTCTCGGACATCATGAGAATAAATGGACTGTGTTTTACTAAAACTTTAGAAAAGCAGGTTGAAGAGTGGATTTGACTCCGAGGTCCTAGTTTCTCCACTCTTTGTAGACTATTGGCAGTGTTCTCACGGGCAACAGTCTCTGGTGTATGTCCCTGACTTAGAACTTACAATATACAAAATACAGGGTTGGAGATAAAACTCCATTGTAAAACACTTGTCTGATTCATACAAGGTCCTAGGCCTAATCTCCAATACCAGAGGAAGAAAATATATAAACTATTTTACAAGCCATCAAACAAGATTCAATTTAGTCCATAACTGAAAAGTGAAAAGAAAAGAGCCACGAAAGCCTAAGTGGATGCCAAATGAGGGGGAAGGGAGAACTCAAGATCACAAGTCTTAGATCCCGGGTTCAGCACACAGGGGAAAGGGTCATGTACTATCCAGTTACATCCCTCACTGTCGGTCACACAGAAACCCTGTCTCGGTGGGGAAAGAAAAAAGACAAAATTCTTGCCCTTATTACTGTACTGTTCCTATCACCCTAATTCATGTCCTTTTCCCCAGTAAATCTTTAGATATTTTCTTTATGCAAATGAAAGAAAAATATGAGTATATATTCTTTTCCTCTTAAAAAAAATGTGTGTGTATGTGTGTCTTTGTGAGTGTGGGCCTGCACGTACCACAGAGAACATGTGGAGGTCAAAGGATAAAGGACAACTTTGTGGAGTCAGGCTTGGTTTTTTTGTTGTTGGTGGTTGGTTGGTTTTTTGTTTTGTTTTCTTTTGTCTGTCTGTTTGTTTGTTTGTTTGTTTGTTTGTTTGTTTTGAGACAGAGTTTCTCTGTGTAACAACCCTGGCTGTCTTAGAACTCTCTTTGTAGACCAGGCTGGCCTTGAACTCACAGAGATCCACCTGCCTCTGCCTCCTGAGTGCTAGGATCAAAGGCGTGCGCCACCGCTGCCCAGCCTGTGAAGTCAGGTTGGTCCTCCCACTTTTGGTGGGCTCTAGGGATCAAGCTCAGGTCACCAGGCTTGCTCATGGAGTACTTTACCCACTGAGCTACTTGTTGGCCCCCTTTTCTCATATATAGAACTTACATCTTTCTTTTTCTTTTTCTTTAAACAGTCTGTCTGGAGAGCTTTCCATACAATACATAGAGAGCTACCCTATTCTGTAAAACATTCTGTTCTGTAGCTAATAAGAGTGTCCCCAGCTTTGTTGTCCTGATATTTTATCATTACAAACAATACTGTAGTAGATTCTTGTGTTTATCTTGTCATACATGTATTATCTAAACTCTCTGGTCTTTGCTCACATGGATCAGATAACAAGGGAGCCTATATTATCTGAATATATTTGGGCCCTAAGATTATATCTGGGAGCAGGGTATAATGTCACACACACACCTTTAATTCTAGCAGAGGCAGGAGGGCCTTTGAGTTCCAGGACAGGTAGGGTTACACAGAGAAACTTTGTCCCAAATAAATAAATAAAATACATACATACATATATACATGTACATACATACTTTGTCAGCCAGGGTCCATGCAGTGGCTGTGGATTCAGTGTTTGCTGCCCAAGCCTGATGACCTGGGTTTAATCCTCAGAGCCTCATAAATGTTGGAGATAGCCAGCTCCACAAAACTGTCCTCTGACCTCCATATACACAAGCAATGTTTTTTCAAAACCTTTATTTGATGACTTTGTCAAAATGCATTGCCGTGAATGAAGTGTTTTGAGACAGGAGAGGTGGAAGGCAGAAGGGGCGTGGACAGAAGGTCACCTGTCTGCTTCATTAGCCCTCTGTCAGATAGAATTGTTTCTTTAAACATTTGGAGAGGCTGGAGAGATGGCTCAACAGTTAAGAGCTCTTGATGCTCTTGCAGAAGACGGGTTTGATTCCCAGCGCCCACATGGCAGCTTACAGTGACCTGTAACTTGCCTTCCGGAGATCTGATGCCATGGGCATGCAAATGCATATGCATAACGAAGGCAGAGCACTCATACACATAAGAGAAATCAAAAAGAAAAATTCCGTTTATATCAGTTCTGATGTTTGGATCATGAGAGTTTAGAGATTAGAGAATTTCTCTCTCTGAAGAATAATCTCCAGAAAATGACTAGTTATAAGAAATGTTAGTTACCCACCTGTAGATCTCAAATGTTTCCAAGATTTACTGACTTAAAATAACAGACATTGACTTCATATAGTTTCACGGGTTCAGGGCCTTAGCTGGGTAATTCTAACTAAGACTATCTCATGAAGATAAAGTCAAGCTATCAGCTAGCATGGCATTCATCTGTCGGCTTAGAGACAGAGATTGATTGATAGGATCATGGGGTTTTAGAAATATTAATATTTTTTAGTAATATTTAGTGTTGCTTGTTTATTGGAAAATAAATTTAGAAAAAGCTGATGTTTGGCCAGGTGTATATTGTGGATGTAGAAATACAAGCAAACAGAAACCCTCATTAGTATCCCCGTTTTTTCTCTAGCTAGAAATTTAGTTATAAACCCTCAAGGCTGTTTGTGCTGATACCACAACTGAAAACACATACTGTGTACACAGGCAGCATTTTTACTTTACTAAAAACAAACAATATCCTTAAACATTAAGGCAAATAAGCAAACAGAAGAGAGAAAAAGATTCTTTGAAAACCAAGGACTTGAGTCTGGTACACAACTTTAATGTCAACACTTAGGAAGCAAAGGCATGTGGTGGATCTCTGTGAGATCAAGGCCAGCCTAGTCTACATTGTGAATTCCAGGATAGCCAAAGCTATATAAGACCCTGTCTCAAATCAGTAAGTAAATATTAAGAGCTTGGGCTAGTGAGATGGCTTGGTGGATAAAAGTGCATGGAACCTGCAATGGAAGCATCCACACTGGCCCTATGGCATGCTCATACGCAACATATATACTCACACACTAATATTAATAACAGTTTTTAAAACTACAGACTTGAAGTTGGGTGTGATTGTTCATGTCTATAATCTCAGCACTCAGGAGGTAGAAGTAAGAGGATTGGGATTTTGTGGACAATCTCTAATACAGAGTGAGTTCTAGGCCAGGCTGGGCTACGTTAGGTCCTGTCTCAAAAACCTAAGTGCTCAGAGCTGTCGATGTAGCTCAGTTGGTAAATTGTTTGCTTAGCATGCATAAAACCCTGGGTTCCATCGCCAGTACTATATAAACTGGGCATACCTGTAAACCTGTACTCTTGAGGTATAAGCAGGAAGATTAGGAAATTTAAGGCCTTTGGCTGCTTAGGGAGTTGTGGATGCTAGGAACTGAACAAAGGTCCTCTGCAAGACCAGTAAGTGCTCTTAACCACTGCACCCTCTCTCCAGTCCTAAGAATCAACACTTTTAACAAATTGTAAATTAAACAAAACTCCCCCTTCTTTCTCTTTCTCTCTGTCTCTTGAAATTGGACATTACTTATTGATAGTAACATATTTTCTTTTAAGGGCCTACAGTACCTTTTTTGGAAAGAAATATGTTTAATTTAGATTTTCTAAATGTATATAATCTGGAATAGCCTTCAAAATCTCATTCTTGTAACTCAATGGAAATTTTTATTTAAAAAAATAAAATTATTGACCAGGTGGTGGCGGCACATGTCTTTAATCCCAGCACTCTGGAGGCAGAAGCAGGTGGATCTCTGTGAGTTCCAGGACAGCCAAAGCTACACAAAGAAACCTTGTCTCAAAAACCAAAATAAATAAATAAGATTGTTGGAGTTAGAATGTAGCTTAATTGGTAGTGTTTGCTTAGCCTTGGGTTTGAACCCCAACACTACGTAAACTCAGCATGGTGATGACTGTCTGTAACCCTGTACTCTGGAGGTAGAAGCAGGATAAGAAGTTCAAAGTCATCCTCAACTAAATAGCTAAGTGTGAGGCCATCCTGGGCACCTGAAACTGTAGACAGAGAAAAGTAATCTTAGTATCAGTTTAACTAATTGAGAAGATAAATTGGATAATGTCTTCCCTACTGTGATTTGAATATTATCCATAACAGTCTTGCGACACACTTAGTACTAGTAATCTAGAAATCTCTCTGGGGGCTTTATGATCCAAAAAAAGTAAGAATCTCAGACTTTTCTCTCTTCATTGTTTTTTAACATTTGTCTATCATGTCTGTGTTTGTGTATGTGCACATATGTGTGCAAGTCAAGGGCCATTTTAAGGGAATAAGTTCTCTCTACCGGTGTGGGTCTTGTGGGATTGAACTCCGATTGTAGGATTGACAGCAAGCACCCTCCCTGCTGAGCCATCTCCCTGGCCACCACTGTTTGTTGAGGCAGGGTTAGCTTGAACTCTGTGTAGCCAAGAATGACCTTTAATAGCTGATCAATGCTCCCGCCTGCACTTCTCAGGTGCTGCTGGGCTTACAGGCATGCACCACTGTGCCTGATAACTGATATTCTTCCACCAGATTGCAGCTAGCCAGAGATGAGAATCTTAGAAAACTAGAGTGCATTGGTTCTCTCACAGGCTTCATTTCCCACTCCTGGAATCAGACTGTAGCTTTGGCTAGGAGAAAAGAGACCCAAAGGTGTGTGGTGGCACATTCCTTTAATTCCAGCACTCAGAAGGCTGCTGATCTCAAAGTTCAAAGCCAGCCAGGGCTACAGCGTGAGACCCTGTCTCAAATGAATGTGAGAACCTGAGTTAAATGTTTTTAGTACATGCCGGGCATGGTGGTACACACCTTTGATCTTGGCAATTGGGAGACTGAGGCATGTGGATCTCTATGAATTTGAGGCCAGCCTGGTCTCAAAAAAAAAAAAAAAAAAAGACAACACACACAGAACCAGATAACTTAGGCCTCTTGTAGATTCTAAGTGTGTCTTTAAAATGTTCTGCCACATCCTAATTACCTTCAGAAGTTTTTTATGTTTTTTGGTTTGTTTGATTTAATGTGTTTGGATGTTTTACCTACATTTGTATCTTTGCACCACACTAATGACTGGTGCCAACAAGGCCAGAAGGGGTCATTTTGGGATCCACTGGAATTGGAGTTACAATTAAACTCTTCTGGAAGAGTGGCCAGTGCTCTTAACCACTGAGCCATCTCTTCAGCCCCCTTCAGAAGTCTTAAAGAAAAGAAAGAAAAAGTGGTTCTGAAGACAGGTATCGAAGAGACAAGTGATTCACCAACTTGAGTTCTCCTGGAGGCAGTCAGGGATGACTTGGAGGGGCAGGGGTAAGGTACAATGCTCTTTCGCAGCCTTATCTGCAGAGGACCAGGGTTTTGATGATGACGGGACTTTTCTTGATCATAGTCCTTTCCATTTTGGCCCTGGATCCTTGACATATGAATAAGTAGTAGGTGGCTATTTTCTTAGATTTTTAAACTTCGTAGATAACTCAGCTTTATGCAGATAAAAATATGTATATTTGAAGCCAAAACACGTAACTTCCTAAATAAAGTGAACTCTTGCATTTGTGTTTTCCAAAATAACAGTGTAGCACTGGGGACCTAGTTCAACAGGATAGCCATTGCCTAGAATGAGGCCCCCTGTTTAAATCAGAGTATCAGAAAGACAAACTGCATCGTATCCAAATTTTTTATACTTATTATTGTGTATACATTTGATGTATATGTGTGTATGAGTGCAGGCTTACACATTCTACAGTGCAGGTGTGGAGGGGTCAGAGGAAAACTTTCGAGAGTTGGTTTTTTCCATCCACCATGGCCTCCAGGGATCAAACTCAGGTTGTCAAGCTTATATGGCAAGTACTTTTTAAATGATGAGCCATCTCATTGACCCATGGTCAGCAATTTTTTGAAACAAAATAGGCTATAATTTACTATAGTAAGTTCTACAGCATACAGAATTGTGTTATTTTAAAATATATTGTTATAAAATATTCAAAATACTAATTAATATACATTTTCTGTGTTGGATTGCAATGAGCAGTGTCTGTCTATCTTTATTTTTTTTCTTTCTTTTTATTTCTTTTTAATGTACATTGGTGCTTTGCCTGCATGATCCCCTGGGACTGGAGTTATAGATAGTTGTGAGCTGCCATGTGGGTGCTAGGAACTGAACCTGGGTCCTCTGGAAGAGCAGCCAGTGCTCTTAATCACTGAGCCATCTCTTCAACCCCGAACAATGTATTTATTAACTGTAGGTTGAATTTTTTGTTTTGTTTTGTTTTGTTTTTTGAGGCAAGGCCTCACTATATAACTCTGGCTAGACTTGAATTCACAGAGATCTACCTGCCTCTATCTCCTGAGTGCTGAAATTACAGGCATGAACTACACCATACTCAGCTTCCTTACTGCAGATCTTAGTCAAAACATTACATATAGATTCTCCAGTAGAAGACATGAGTTTCCATCCTGTTCCTAAAAGATATCATACATTAGACATACACATTTTGAACATAACAGTGTATATTAATTAGAATTGGAGATGCTCAGTTTTTAAGGAATAGAGTAAAATTGTCATGTCACTAGATAATGCCTGTGACTTGTTAACTTTTCAAATATACCCCACTTCACACTTACCAGTGGGGAATACCTACCTATGGAAGTAACCTCATGGGGATGATTCTGTATCTCAAATCTGTTAGGGTGGGGAGCAAAACAAAGACCCCCCAGTATTAGGTCAAGTCACTTCTGCAGAAAGCACATCGTTCTCATAGTTAGCTCTGACTCTGGATCTCACCATTGTAACAGGCAAAACTAGATGGTGGAAGACAGCAGTGGAGGCCTGTTCTCATGGCTGTGACCGAGAAGGACCTGCTGCTTTATGATTGTATGCCATGGACAAGAGATGCCTGGGCATCGCCATGTCATAGCTACCCTCTAGTTGCCACAAGGTAAGACAAAAGAAAGAAAATTACTCTTAAGTCAACTATAAAGTGAATTCTACTGCCTTTGGTGCCTAAAATAGCATTTAAGAAGCTAACATAGACAAAATGATTTTTTCCCCAACTCATCATTTTGCAGCTCTTAACAGAATAAATTGCTTCAGTCACTCTGTGTCTGTGTGTGTGT